CTATAATATACAAGATTAACAATAATCCAAACAAAAGTTGCAACCTCTATAATATACAAGATTAACAATAATCCACATAAAAGTTGCAACCTCTATAATATACAAGATTAACAATAATCCACATAAAAGTTGCAACCTCTATAATATACAAGATTAACAATAATCCACATAAAAGTTGCAACCTCTATAATATACAAGATTAACAATAATCCACATAAAAGTTGCAACCTCTATAATATACAAGATTAACAATAATCCACATAAAAGTTGCAACCTCTATAATATACAAGATTAACAATAATCCACATAAAAGTTGCAACCTCTATAATATACAAGATTAACAATAATCCACATAAAAGTTTAAACCTTTATAATATACATAGTTAATTTAATAGTTGTAAGTAGAACGTGAATTGTATATTTCTGTTTAATTATCTCTAAAATAATAATCTTTTTTTTAGATACAGGGTGTCCCACGAAACATGACAGTTGGTAAATAATTTGGAATGTCTTCTTCTCTGTAATAGATATTAGAGACTTTTTGCATTTTTTTTCATTCAATAAAATCTTTTACTAAAAAATTTTTTACTTTGAAATCAAACTATAATATGAGTACCATTAAATATTCTTATAACTCTCTTTAGTATTAAACAACTTCAGTAATTATGGAAGAAGACATTTTAAATTATTCACCAACTGTCATGTTTCGTGGGACACCCTATACATCATTTAAGAAAGCGCTAAACAATTACAAATAGAATATCATGGTTCTTCTTCAGAATTTACAATGAAAAGTGATTAATTAGATACTTGAATATATAAACCTGGAACTATGCTTAAATATAATTAGTATTCAGACAACTATACCCAAATATAGTTCTTAGTTCTCAGAGATACTAAGTAGATATGGTAAGTGTACTTTTTAAAATAACACCTTTTTGTACAGTGCCCCCCCCCCCATAAAACTGTGGAATAGAAAAAGGACATTTTATTAATATTATGTGTAGAAATGGGTGTGTGTACACTGCACAATTGTTGTGTTTATGTCTATTGATCTTTTTTAAATCATAATTTATATTTAAAAGTCGTTTTCCGATTCCGCAGTTGTATGAGTCCCATTGTCATAGTCTAAGGGATATTTGCATACAAATATTCTAGGTAACTGAAAGATTTGCTTGTTCATGTAGATAAAAAGGAGGATCCTTCAAATGGAATCCAATAAACAACTTGAACGCGTAAATTAATGCTGAATATACTTGGTCTTCTGGTGAAAAGAAAGAAATGAGTAAATGGGTTAAAAGTGGTATTTTCCCCATTTTTCCGAGTTTAAGTCAATGACCCCTAATCCAAAATTTTCTTCATGTTGTCCGTTTAAATGACCAAATTTGGAGGCTGCGTGCAAAATTTAAGCCTTTTATCTCAATTTTTATAACCAAACGTAAATCCTTTTCAAAATTTGGTATCCCAACATGCAAATCCCATTTGGGGATTTTGAAAAAAAACTTTTTCTGTTAAAACATATTGGTAATCCTTGCTAAATTGTGGTAAAAATGATACCCATATTCATATAGTTGAAAAAATAGAACTTTTTCCAAATTTGGGGTCTCAAAATTGACACCCATATGAGTTATGACCCCCTTATCTCCATGATAAATTCATTCTATCTTTTTGATAGGTTTAGACTATTTGCATATAATTTTTTTCTTCTTCAAAAATTAGACTAGATTTAATATTATGGGTCTGGCGTGATTTTTGAGTTTGTTTTATTTTTTTTTTTTGGGGGGGGGGGGAGGGGGTCAAAATATTGCAAACATTTTTGAAAATTTTCTTTGGAAATTCAATGAGATTTTAAAATCTATCAAAGTTTTTGATGTTCTGTGACACAAATTTGACTTTTTTATAGTATACCAACATTTCTAAAATGGCCAAAACTGCTATAAAAAAATGGGTGGCTGTTTATGATCGAAATAAAAAGAATTTTAAATTTGAGAAGCCCCAAAAACCTGTGAAAAAATAATAATACTTATATTAAAGCGTTCTTATGATTATTTGATGTAAAGTGAATAAGTTATCAGTAGCTTGAAAATCTACTTATTAGTTGAAATGGGCCTGTGTTCACTGCACATGTGCTGTGTTTCATGTTGATAGGACTACAGTAATTATATCAATACAATGAAGACGAATTTTTTTTGTTTAAGTTTTTTCTTATTGACAAGCTTTTTTTTAATTACAAGTCCACGAGTAATCAAAGAGATGCTTTTTCAAATTGACCGCTTTTCT